AAGATTAATTGTGGACTCCTACACATAATATCAGATGGAGGATTTGTCTAAGAGGTGTTTTCCATATGAAGGGATTGCATTAAATTGTAGCGCACTGCCTTGCATCGAGTTGTTTGGTTAATCAAAGAAAGCACTGCATCAGCATGTGATTGAACCTGCATATAAAACCTGTGTCTGTTTTTGACATATTTGCTGACATCTCCCCAGAGTCCTTGTTGCCATGACTCCAATACAATTATTTTCAAATAACAAAAGGAAAACGTTTTTGATGTTTCAGTGCCTTTAGTTTGAGTTCATACATCCATGCCATTCATACATGGCGTGTGACTGTGTCCTCTTAGTTGGACAGCGTGCCGGGTCTTAGGTGCGGGAGTTGGTGCTCACCCATTACGGCTGCACAGCTGTCCCTGTTCGGTTTTGTGTTACATTCGTGTGTAGCTTTACATTTGGCCTTTTTCAGGCCATTCGATTTCATCTTTTTCCATTATTGTTTTGGCTTTCGACACTATGGCTCATAATTATTCATTTATTTTCTTTCCCTTGCAGACTGTCACATGTTTTATGGCATTTCTAATGACCCTTTCATGACCTTTTATGGCATAGGCCTACTCTTACATTGTTGTGACATTTCATTAATGTACATATTAAGTACATATTTCGTATTTTTCAATCACTTTTTTTGGGATACTATACCATGACATTTTAGTGAACATTTTGGTGAGTCATTCTATGATTTTTAATTACAAACTGTTTTTAATTTCCATGGCAGACCAACGTGTAAAAAAAATGGTTCTTCTCTGCCGTACCTTTGTTAGACATTTACATAACTTCTTAAATTCAGCTATACAGTTTTTTTAACAGATACTGTACGATACTGTGATCATATCATATCACATCTGTTAGGACATACTATAGTATACTATATTTACATATATACTTTTTTACAATATACTAAACCATGACTTACATATGTGTTTTTATGGCATACTATACTACAAGATAATTATTTTTCAACACAATGTTGATTGTCGTTTTCAAATAACATACATAGTAGTAGAAAATATGACGAAAGTAAACATACATTTACTGCATGGCATGATATATTATGAGATTTTGTTTTGCACATTCCTGACAAAGTACCTGCTAATGCATGGGGCACCGTTTGTAAAATGTTGCACGTTCTAAAATCCTGCACAGTTTTGCTACATTTAGCATTATTATATGAACAAAAAAGCACTACAATATTCATGTCACTTTTTCAAACATTGAGAGAGAAATGATGAAGAAATGAAATAACTTTTCCAAGGATAATGTTTAACAAAGTTGTTAAATAATCTAAATAGTAAATGTAAATATAAATGTTATACCTACATGTTAAATGTAAATGTTAAATATTAAATCTAAATGTAACAGTGGCAGGTATCCGTACGTTCTCATCTTGAGCTTTTTATTGTTTCTCTTCTTTCAATGTAATGGATGGCATGTTTAGCTATAAGGGAAGTGCCAGAACCGAAGCCCTGTGGAGCCGATTCTGGTGTGTCTGAAAGCTTGAACTCCCTCTGAGTAAGTCTTAAGTCTACGAGCAGATGAGCCTTCTTCTCATTTGGTTTATTCCCTCACTAAACTTCATAAACAAGAGTCCATTGTTCATTTCAAGTAGGTAAACCAGAGGCCAAACCAATCCAAACTTTATGTGATCTTTTTTAAGTTCCATATCCAGTTGCAGATTGTGGTACTCATGCCAAGAGTTACCCAGATGTTGTCATGGAATTCCTGCAGGTTCCTTTTAGTTACTCTTTTGAAATCCCAGTATTTAACTTGCTTTTTAATATTTTAAAAACAACAACAAATCATTTTAAAATCAAGATAAGACAAAAGATTAATAATGTTACCTCAAACGTGTAAAACCCCAATGATATGCAAAGCTGAAGTACAAGAACCATGGAGCATACAGGACTAATGACAGGAAGTATAAATTAAAGAAGGAAGGAAGCCATTTCTGTCGAAGCTGAGCGGGGTTGCATTCCATTGCAAATTGTCAACTTGGCCATGCATAGTGTGAGAATCCTATCTGATAAAAGTTTGTTTTTGACGTCATCCAAGTCCACGGATGATGGTCAGATGGATAAAGTAAAAAATCAACATCATAGACTTTCGGAGAAATAGGGAAATGGGCAAAATGAGTTTTCTTTGTTATGGGGTGAGGGGTTCCTTCTGTGATGTTGATCCCAATCAAACGTCAGGCATCACTCCAAACATCCCCGCCTGGATGCCACTGCTTTGCAGCCTCACATGCAACGGCATAATGTCAACACATAGATTTATCTCCCCCTTGCAGAACTAAACACCGTGTGCACTCTCTGCTCACAGAGAAATCTTAGATTCAGCATAAACACCACAAATTCCCTTTGATGTAGTCGATGCGATCTGGTGTCATACCAGGACACCTGAGGAGGGCTGTCCAGCATTCTCCAGCAACGCTACACTACTGAAGGCTGGGGACAGAAGGACATTGTTAATAGAGTCTCCAATGGGAAATAGCAACACTATACTTTAAAAAACTATGTGGTTGTCTGCTGTTTTAGCTCTAAAATGAAAACAGCTAAAACAGAGATTAGACGACTAACACGAGTGAGCCGGACACTTCAGCAGTGAAGTGGTAGGAAATACTTATTTCCAGTGCTGAAACGTATCTAACTATACGACTGAAGTATTGCCCAGTAGTACATTTTTGATGACTTCTGTAAACTTCACTTGAGTACAGGTCACTTTTTTGCCTCTATTAATTAAGAGGAACTCCACTTTGTACATCTCTGCATTTTTTTTTTCATTTAGACTTTTAGAATACCAGTTTATTAACAGTTCATGGCCCGGAAAGGAAAATGAGAAAGTATGTTGTAATTATATTCCGTTTTTCATTCTGTATATTTTATGTCTATATGATGGTTCTGTCCAGGAAGTTGCTCTTGCTGAGACGACAACTAAGGCTGGAACTGATTTAATTCAATTCTCCTAAAATACTTCTCAACGTTCTACTGTAAACGCCATGAAATGTCAGAACAAAATAAAATAGGAAAAGGAAAATACTGGAATGTCCATACATCAAAAGCATGCATTCCTTGGATTGAATAGAATGCTAAATATGTGTCGTCAAATTAGTTGGAATTGGAATTAAGATTTGAATATTCAAATAATAATCCCCCTCCCCCTTATGTTTTTAGATGTTTTTTGTTCCACATAAATAGCTTCTTCTAAAATGAATAAAACGTATTAATGAGAGCTTACATGACTAAACGACTCCACTCCAGGTGACCCCTCCGAGAGGTTGTAAGTGGTGCAGATGTTTGTCAGATTCCGCTTCCTGCTTTTGTGAAGATTGCAGCAGTTGGACATTAAGGACCCTTTGTCAAACTACTCTCCCTCACTAGCACTTAGCCGTGGGATATTTCTCTACACAAACTACCGTTGCAGCTGTGGATTGTTAGGGGGGTATAAATAAACAAGCAAATTGTGGGATACAGTCACAGCTCTCAGGAAATATCCATTACCATGGTTGCTGATAGATGTCCTGCTTCTGTTATTGTCAGGTCCTGAGCCCAGCTGTTGTGTAATATGTTGTTTTTGCGGTTTCCCTCCAAATGGGCAATGTCTACAAAACACTGAAGCTGTGCTATAGATGTTTTCAATGCATCCCCATGTACCACCATTGTTGCCCTTGCTAGTAAAGTGGTTCCAAAAAGGCAAAGATATTAAGGAGGCAACAAGCAGCATCAGTGGAGAAGTAAATTAGCACTCAGATGAAGTTGGGAGATGAATAATTGCGAGCCAAACTGAGTGAGAAGAAAAAGTGTCACCATTGAGAGTGCTGTTAAGGCAACAACACACAGGTTCTCAGGTTGCATTAGGTCATGGTACTATCTGGACACTGGTCCTGCCTCCTGCCATGGCCCTGCTGACCCCTACTATCACTACCCTTAGTCCCATTACTGAAGTGGTGGTTCATCAGAGGGTGGACCTATCTGATGGTGTTTATATCTGATGGTGGTCATATATGATAGTGGTTTTATCTGATGGTGGTTCTAACTGATGGTGGTTATATCTCATGTTGTCATATCTGATGGTGGTCATATCTTATGATAGTTTTATCTGATGTTTATATCTGATGGTGGTTCATCTGATGGTGGTCCTATATGATGGTGGTTATATCTGATGGTTGTTCTAGTTGATGGTGGTTATATCTCATGTTGTCATATCTGATGGTGGTCATATCTTATGATAATTTTATCTGATGGTGGTTCATCAGATGATGGACCTATCCGATGGTGGTTCTAACTGATGGTGGTTATATCTCATGGTGTCATATCTGATGGTGGTCCTATAGGATGGTGGTTATATCTGATGGTGGTTCTAACTGATGGTGGTTATATCTCATGGTGTCATATCTGATGGTGGTCCTATATGATGGTGGTTCTATCTGATGGTTGTTCTAGTTGATGGTGGTTATATCTCATGGTGTCATATCTGATGGTGGTTTTATTTGATGGTGGTCATATGTTATGATAGTTTTATCTGATGGTGTTTCATCAGATGGTGGTCCTATCTGATGGTGGTTATATCTGATGCTGTCATATCTGATGGTGGTCCTATAGGATGGTGGTTATATCTGATGGTGGTTCTAACTGATGGTGGTTATATCTCATGGTGTCATATCTGATGGTGGTTTTATTGGATGGTGGTCATATGTTATGATAGTTTTATCTGATGGTGGTTCATCAGATGGTGGACCTATCTGATGGTGGTTCTAACTGATTGTGGTTATATCTTATGGTGTCATATCTGATGGTGGTCCTATAGGATGGTGGTTATATCTGATGGTGGTTATATCTCATGTTGTCATATCTGATGGTGGTTATATCTGATGGTGGTTCTAACTGATGGTGGTTATATCTCATGGTGTCATATCTGATGGTGGTCCTATAGGATGGAGGTTATACCACCTGTTGATAAAGACAGCTGATCCGCATTCTTTATTTATTTATACATTTACACATACATACATACATACGTAAGCTGAATGTTATTTACCTCTTAATGTTAGCTAGATCTTCAAGCTTTAAGTAGGCAACGGAACATCAGTGGTAGCTGATGAAGCATTCTACAGGTAGCTTATGAAGCATTATGAGTTGCACTGGAAGTGATGTTTATATGAATGAGTGCAGGATTAACAACAGTGGCTTGGCACCTATATCTTCCCCTGGATGGTCATTAAATGAAGGATATTTTTCTTTGGCTTGCCCACATTTGACCTGCTTCAGTGATACGACTTCTTCAATTCATGCGCCGTATCGCAGCAGAACAGGTGTATTCATACTGAGATGAAATTGCTGACAGGTGGATACATATTTAACAATTATGTGACTTGTGAAGGCAGTTGGTCGCACCACATCTTTGTGAGGGGTTTTACGGTAAGTGGATGAAGACATATTCACTCAACTCTTCAGATTTGTATTTGTAAATCATTTTGAAATCAATGTAAGTTTCTCTCCGACTTCCAGATGATGGACTATCTTGTGTTGATCCATTACATAAAATCCCAATGAAATGAATTTTAATCTGTGGTTTTACCATGACAAAATGTAGAAAAGCCTAAGCCCTGTGAATGTACTAAATATACGTTTCCTTAACGTGGGCCGGCCTGCGCGCATCCAAGAATAATTATTAACTAATGTTCTTATTGCCACATCCTGATGACAAACATAGATATTCTAATCAAACTTAAGTACATTAAATGCCACATTTGATGATGGTTATTCTACAAATCAAACTCTTCGTACACACATTATATAACTGGCTTGGTGTAATAATTTAAATAAAATAAGGTCACGGTTTTCACTTCACCCTAAGAAATACCAAAAGTTATCATAGTTATATCATACAGAGCTTTAACCAAAAGTTTGCTACTCCAGAATGAAGTGAATACAAAACAAATCTGTTATCAGCCAGCCGGGTGGTAGAGCGGTTTACCAGGTTCACCATCTTTAAATCCCGCACAAATAACACAACCCTAATGACTAGCTAAGAACTAAAGAGGCACTAATGTAGACAGAAAATAGTTTTTCATGCAGAAAAACCGTGACTATCTCAATTTATTCTTTCTGTTCCATTTTGTGATTTCCTTATAATGGGTCATCATTTATTTTGCTTTATGTCTTTGGTAATGTTAATAAATCACTTAATAATTATCGAGACAATAAGTCATTATTAAAAACCTTTGCATTGTTCTCCTACAGCTCTACGTCTATATTATCAATTGGTTGTGTTAACATTGTTCTCAAGGTAACTCCTAACACTAAATACCCAAGAGGGAAACAAACCTGATCCAATCACATAGACGATCGGACAGATCAGATAATCGGTGCAGCGCTTCAGTTCACGACCACGACCCAACACCAGTTGTTCTAATTAAGGGCGTATTACATGTTACTGCTCTTTAAAGCATTAGTCAATAATTTACCGAGCATTAATGAAGCCTACTTGGTAAAGTAGGCCAAATCAGAAAGTAGCACAAAACGTTTTTAAGGAGTTAGCACATTTTAAAAACTACACATTGTGACAGAGCCAATCTGAGTTTAAAAGCAATGTGCTCAGTTAGGAATAAGGAATTTAAATTTGTACAAACTGAAAACCTCAAAATCTTCAGCAGCCTAATATCAGTAGCTTATGGCCTTCACTTCTAGTCCGTGAGCTTCAGCTGTATCATTTCTTTAGAGGCTAAACTAGAGCTCAGCCGCCTCACTAGTGCATGCATTTATATAGTGTTCGACACTCCGTCTGCTCAGAATCATTCAGTCACGCTAACCCCCATCTGAATAAAATGTAAAAATCAAATCCAATCATAAAAAATTTCAGAAGTATCCTTAAAAGAAGTAAGCAAACATGGAGGTGGTTGAGCCGGAGCCACAATTGAGCTAACGATGCTAACAGTGCTAACAGTGTGAACCTGAGGGGGGTGACGGAGAGTCGGGGTCACACTTCTGCATGGCCGCTATCGCACAGCCTGTCTGTAAGAAGTGGGTGTAGTCGGCCTGACGTCACCCATCGGTTTGTGGAGCTTTTCTGAAGCCTCACGTTCCATCTTCCATTCAGGCCGAAGGAAAGGACCAACATCTAATATCGTATATAGAACCTTGGAGGAACATTATGGCCAAAGCTTTTGATCCACGGGTGCAATCGTATACCTACCGAAGTACGTGGTGCTCTGTGACTGTTACGACTGTCCTGAGGTGCAATAATCCAAAACATTAAAGTATACAAACACAAAGAAATGTCTCATGTTTAACAGCATGGTTCCAATGACAACCATCTCAAAGTCTTTGGTGACATTTGCATGTGTGGTTTTGTGTAAGGGGAAGTGGGGGGTGCTGCAGCGGTTTAAGCTGCAGAGAAATTGGATCTGATGGAGTCCTCTCGCAACTGACGGTGCTTCCCATTGTCACACTCTTCACTGTGCGTGCGACGCACAATGGTAATCTTGTAGTTTTTTCTGCAGAGAAAAAAAAGGCTGTTTTTCACGGCAAAGCTTTTCATTTTTCATAAAATCCTACCGACAAAAATCAATAAGAGTCAGGGATTGGAAAAAACATTCTTAGCAGTTATTTGATCACAACTTTTGTTTTAAAAGTCCACTATATTTTGCCAAGTGACTCTTGACTTTTGAAGCTAAATTCAAATATGCAGTTTAAATAATATTTTTTGATTACAGTCTGTTTCCAGCCTGTGTCATTTAGTGACTTTGTCCTTTGCAGTGAATGATATGCCCGGCTACAGGGTTGGTAAGAAGGAGGACAAAAACTAACAGTATGGATGGCCGATTCACAAAAACAAGTCCGAAAGTGTAGTAAAGGAATTTTAAATCTCCTATTTGATTCATTTCTGATTAACTTAGAGGGCATAACACAGCAACCAAAACACAAGGGCAAAAGAGCACAAAAGATCAAATACTTGCTTTGTCTGAATAAACATTAACCAGCAGCAACGCGCAGCACAAGAGCGAGTCGGCTGCGTGCCGAGGAGTCATCGTCCAATACAAACCTTCATCTTCCAATTTGAGTCCCACCCGATGCCATCATATCGGCTCAATCAACGTTGTGCTTTGTGAATTGTGTTTTCTCTTTTGCTGTTGTATTTTCACCTTGCGACCACCGTACAGAGTCTAAGACCCTAACACAACCAACCCTAACCCCCTAACCCTAACACAACCAACCCTAACCCTAACATAACCAACCCTGACCCCTAACCCTAACACAACCAACCCTAACCCTAACATAACCAACCCTAACCCCCTAACACAACCAACCCTAACCCCCTAACGCCACCAACCCTAACCCTAACCCCCTAACCCTAACCCAACAACATTAGGAGACATAAATGACTTACTCTTACCTGAAAAAGAAGAATGCTACAAGCATTGCAGTTCCCAGAACAGCTCCCACTATGACTCCAGTCAAAGCTGATACTCCCAGTCCACCTGAGTGGAAGAGCAGATGTTGGTAGAAGACATGTACTGTGTCATACAGACCGTAGATAAACATAGCGAGTCACCTCCACAGGTGTCCCTATACTGGGGTGTTCATTTACATGATTTCTCTGCTATCTCTGCATGTGGTCGATGTCTTCCTCTCAGGGTGAAATGGTCTGTGTTGAAGGCAGGAAGCAGCTGAAAAGTTCCATTTGCACCAAAGTAGTTGGCCACCACCTGTGAGTGAGTACACCAGATTATCATCCAGTTCAATCCCCATGCGCATGTTAGGGATGGTGTCACAGCCTTGTCTCACCTCATAGGTTCCTGCTTCCACATTCGTCATTGCCATCAAAGAGAAATCTCCATTTCTGTCTCCATTGGCATCTATTGATACCTGGCCGGCAATCCCTGTCGCCCCCCCCGGAAAACAAAGAGAACATCACTTAGATCAAACTCCCAAGACAATGTTGGAACATATGTCTACTAGCGTGGAAAAATATTTCATTCATGTGACATTTTGCTTGCTAACATGCATTTAATTCATCTTTTATAGAGCTGCACGTCCACATGCAGTTCATTTTAAAATAGTTAATATTGCTCAATACCTCAATGCTCACAGCCATATTTTATTAAAGAAATACCAACCCCACATTTTAAAAATGCAGAAACAAACCGTTCTTACATACACTTAATCTATGAAAACTTGGTGAATCCAAGTCGAAATCCAATAATCCTAAAAACAAACAATCTGTCTGAGGGGAATCACAGCACAACTACTGCTTGTTAGACTAAACAGCCCCCAGCAACCTGTCATCACAAGGCGACCCTATCGCACACCATATGGAGAGCACAAACTCAATGTTTGCAATAAACAAAGTGAGAAGTCGGGTGGCTGAGATCAACAGGGAACCGTTGATGCAGCCATACAACCAGCACACTTGACCCCCAGCTTCTCTGCGGACCCCCCGTGCATCGAGGCAAGTCCGCCTCAAGCTTCCCTTCCGTCCTTTTCCTTCGGTATATCCCGGGGCTCCGGCGACATTATCAACACATCCTTTGGGAAGACTCCGTGTGAGTTGTGTGTTTTACCTTCAAAAGTTCTGTTCCACATGCGTGAGATGACCTCGGTTCCGTTCCTCTTACTGTATCCGTTCTTCATGGCCTCATGCAAGGCGATGGCATACAGCAGCATGGCATCGTGGAACCCCTCCACAAACATGTTCACCTGAAATGGAACGTTTAGCTTGATTAAGGTTGTGCTGCGTGAACGGATGACATGAATGCAGACCTCTCATACGTACACTTCCGCAGTCTTTGCAGTCATGATACCCGGCTTTCTCCATTTCCATGGAGAAGTTTTCAAACTCGGGCTTGACCGTCCTGAGCAGCGTCAACGTGTTCAGTGAAGCGTAGGCTTGCCTCGCATCGTTGTCATATTTATCCCCTCTCTTCCACGAACCGTTGCCTAGAGTTTGGATTGTAAAAGACACAACAAGGAGCTAAGTAGCCAACCACAGTCCGGCAGAGCGCCGAGGCCTTTTGGTGCCAAAAACATTTAGAAAATAAAGTAAAAACCAAAACATTTCACAAACTCAGAGGCCAATTGCTCAGTTACTTGTTGTTTCTATGGTTTTAAAAAGTAGGCTGGGGGCCAGAGCCTTCAGTTATCAAGCTCCTCTTTTGTGGAACAAGGTTCCACTGTCAGTCTGGAGGGCATCTTCGGTCAGCTCTTTTAAAGTAAAACTTAAAACTTTCCTCTTTGATTCTGCCTATAGTTAGGGCTGGCTCAGGTTAGCCCGGACCAGCCCTTAGTTAAGCTGCTATAGGCTTAGAATGCTGGGGGACTTCTTAGGACACACCGAGCACCTCTCTCACTGACGCCTGCTGCTGCCATCATCATCATCATTATTATTTTAAATATTATTCATATTACTGTCATCATAAACCAACATTACCCTCTCCTAAAGTCTCTGTGCTCTCCCTCCCCACAGGCTCCTGTGGATGGTGGTTCTATCTGATGGTGGTTCTATCTGATGGTGGTTCTATGTGATGGTGGTTCTATCTGACGGTGGTTCTATCTGATGGTGGTTCTATGCGATGGTGGTTCTATCTGATGGTGGTTCTATGTGATGGTGGTTCTATCTGATGGTGGTTCTATGTGATGGTGGTTCTATGTGATGGTGGTGGTCCCTGCAGTGGTCCTGCTGTGCGTCTGGTTTACTACTCACAATTACTTGAATCATTCTGTCATATAGTCTCATGTATTATACATTGTTCATTCTGTACACATGACATCATTGTAGTCTGTCCATCAGGAGACGGATCCTCCTCTGACGTTCTCCCTGAGGTTTCTTCCTTTTTTCATCTTGGAAGGGTTCTGTGCCGATGGTGGGTTTCGGCACAGAGGATCATATGTGCACAGACTGTAAAGCCCTCTGAGGCAAATTTGTAATTTGCGATTTTGGGCTATAAAAAATAAAATGAATCGAATTGAATTGAATTGTTTTCGGTTCAATATGTGCATTTATCTGTTATCAGTAATATCTCATTGAGTTACAAAACTGTCCCCACCAGACCACGGCTCTAGAGAGAGACGTTCACATTTATATTCTATGTGACACGGGCGTAGTTCGTGAGTGGAGGAGTATTCCGCTGCAACGTGCACCCCCACCTCTTAAAGGATGTATCGCTATCTAACTGCCCGGTTTCCCTCCTATTTGCAGTGTGCACATTACTTCACCAGCCATGTTCATTGGTATTGCGTGATCAAGAAATGTGCCCTTATGTGTGGGTCTCAGAGGGGGGTCCTGGAGGGTCCCTCGGAGGACTTTCGCAAAATCGCAAAAGGAAACATGTTGGCAAATAAACAAAGCGGATGCTTTCAGCAAAAAGACAAAGAGGAGCATTGTTAATAATATTACCAACTATTATCAATTATACTTAACTTGCAGCTCTGAGTCTGGTCGTCACCAACTTTTTATAGACATTTGAAAGAGCAGCTAATCTGTCGCTGTGCACGTATGTACGGACTACAAAGCAGAAGATTCAAAATAAGCATTTCAATATGTGGTGTTGACTTTACCATAAAAGGAGGCGTTGAACAGCTCAACATTAAAGAACATATAATTGCCGTTGGTCAGCCGTCGTCTGTGTGCAGCCAGCATGATCTCTCGTATTCTGTCCGCTCCCATGCACATGATCACCACTGCAGCAAAACACACACACACACACAGTTAGAGTCAAGTCATCAGTCTGCATAAATTCCACATGAAAACGAAAAGCTTTAGTAACATATTTATTGACTCCATAACAAAATCAAATGAAAAAAACAGTTATCCTCAGTTAATTATTCATGTTGGTGGAAGGTGTGACACTTTTGGGGGAATGAATCCTGAAATAGAAAAAGTGCGTTAAGCAGAATCCATGTAAAAGTCCTTTGTAATTTATAAAGAATTCAACAGAATAAACCGACCCAATCGCCTCAGTAGCATTCTGACAGAGCACTTTAACAAATATCATTCCAAATATTACTCTAATTGGCAGACAATTAACATTGTCTTTGCTTTGACATTGTGACCCAATACAACCACTACAAAGTTGATATGTATATATAAATATATATTGTAATGTTATTCTGAAAGTACTACATAGTCTGTTTAGGATAAGTTTTTAAAAGAGTAAACATAAATGATAGATAGATTCTTTAGTGTAAAGCCACAAATAATGAGAAAACACTCAATTTAAGCCACTAAATCTTTTTTTTTTCTTAAATTTTAAGCAAAGTAAGAAATCAGGGAAACATGTTGAAAGAAAGGGATAAAAAAGGAGGAAGGAGTTGCGACTGAGCGATTTGAATGTCAGTGACGGGCCGGTGGCACATGGTGTGTGTACAGTGGGGATTAATACCTCTGCAGTAAAGGAAGGTTCCATTGACCCCCCACAGGTCCATATTGAGGAGCACCCATTGAACAGCGTGGCCGCTAGCTCTCCTGGAGGGGCCCGCTTGTCGCATGTTGAGTTTGTAACCGTTTGCATCCGTCATCTTTGCAAAAGAGCAACTTGCATGCGAGGCACAAGGCCTCAGTTGGTCCGTTAACCGTTTAGCGTAGCGGGGCGGCTGCCCTGCAGAACTACTTCCTAAATTATTATCCATAAAACCCTGAAGAGAAGGCTGAAGGGAGACAGACGCTTTCAAAGAATTTCTTCATGTGCTTCCATGAGGCTCTCTGAGAAAGAGGCCGTGCTGCCAACTGCCTCCCCAGTGATGAAAATCCAGCAAACTTTTTCTCAGCTCAGTTTGTTTTGAAAACTCAACATTTTCAAATCATGTGCAAAAAAAGGCTGGAAAAAAAAGGTCCCCCGGTTGATATAGACTTTTCCTTTGGCGATTAAAAGTAAATAAACCGACAAACTGGGCCCGCAGTTGAAAAAGTCCAGCGTCCCGTGTTAATAAGGAAGATTCAGAGTCCTGCTGGAACATTCCTCACAACTCTGTCACTTGAGGGTGAACACACCTCCTGAAAAATCCCATGAGTCAGTGGGACAAACTTCACCTCAGTGCTGCCAGCACTATAGCACCCTTTAATTGCACTGGGCTGCACACACACTACTGGCCCTTGTGCGTGCTCGGCAGCGCTCGCAGCCAGCAATATTTCAAACTTCTTGATTTTTCCTCTTTTGCTCGTTACAAATGAACTCAGGAATGGGGCAGCACGAGGCCCGGGGCCCCCTCAGTGGCCGCAGTGTACTGGGGGCAGGGGGTCTGTCGTGGACTACTCCTGAAAAGACAACAGCAAGGACACGTGTTGTCAGAGAGCGGAAGGGGACGAGAAGAGGGACGCTGATGCAGCAGCTCAGAACCTTCAGTCAGAAGATACGGACTCGGAAACACCAACCACCCTGAGACCGGAGCTTCCTCTACACCGAATATCTCAGTCATACATCCCAAGTGTTTGTTAATAAGAGCGTGGTCATCAGAGTTTTTATATCCAGGGATTACAGGAGAGATGTATTCATGTGCAAATCTTACAATACGCATTATTATTATTGAAAATAATACTTCTAATCCTTCTAATACTCCGAATAGATGCTTCTGTTCAGTGAGAGAATGAATGGAAACTTTTCTCTGGCTACTCGCTGTTTGTTGTGTTTGTGTATCACTGATTGTGTGAAAGTGGATGCTGGCGGTTGTGTTGACTCTCGCGTTGCCTCTGAGGGGTTCCCCACTGTGACACCACGGCACCATGAATATACAGCAGCCCTGATGTCAATACATGGCTCCACAAGTCTGCTTTTTATGCTGAATTCTTCACATACTAAAAACTTGGCAATGACGCAGCGTTTCACTTACAGTATGAGGTCTGGTTTAAGGTGCCATAAACCCCTGAAACCCAAGCATTGATTTTACTCCTCTAGATGTTTTTGCTCCTCTTTATGTCTTTAAAAATCCTCTGGTGAAGAAGGTTTGTTTTGGACTCTGGGGTTTTGAGGATTTAGTGAAAATGTTGCCAAATTGCAACTTCTTAGCGATTAAAAATATAACCACTTTGATTTGAACAAAGTAAATGGACTACTCGACATCAGGGATTCAATGACAACAACCCCGACTCCTGCAAATTTATCGGCATCAATATTAAGACCTCAAATAAGACACTTGGCGTCGGGGAGGAGAGAGACACAAACACAGGACTGACCCAGGAGGCCGCTGTCCGTTTCCCGGACAAACCCCCGTTACAACGCTACGAACCCAAACCGCGACCTCTCCTGAACTTAACCAATTTGTGTGAAGTCAACCATGTTGGAAGTACATTTTAAAGAGAGAAAACATCCGCTATAGCGAGTGGAGGCTAACTGCTGAGAGCTGCGCAAAATCGTCCGAAATCTGCTTTAAAAAACAAAAAAAGTCTGAACCGGACTGTGTTCCATCGCGTCCTGTTCTCGTCCACGTGCAACGTGATTATACGTGCACAGCCTGCGGCGCTGCCTTCGCCAGACCTGTTGGACACAATCTGAAGATTTATTACAGCTGGGTCGGACTTTTATGGTTTTGGCCATCGTTCATAGAGGTTACGAGGTTATGATAACCTTGTAAAAGTTAATTACTGAGATTATGTGGAGCACGGTGACGTCTCTCACACAGCTCGGAAAAAAACAACCGTTTCCTCTGCTTTTCTAAATCCTTTCAATTGGAGGTAAAAAGCAAAGACGTGTGAAAGTGAGAACACATTAAAAGTTTGCTACAAAACAGAAAACTGTGCCCATAACTCCCACAAGACACCACGGCATGGAGCAGCCGGAGTTCCAACCGCCAACCTTCCCGGCGCACCGCTCTGCTCCACCGTCGCTCCCCTAGATTACATTTGATATTTAAACACATGCAATCTACTCATTATCACAGAGTAGAGCTCGCATCATGATGCAAATCAATGCAACCTACGTTGACTTCAGCCGTCAGCTTCGTTCCAAGCAGGAGGATGTCAGGGATGGCGCCCCGGAACAGTCTCACCGAAGATCATATTTTGGTTGTTTTTGACCAAAAAAAAGAGCATACACAATGTACATTTCTGTATTTTCTACCATAGTGAGCTGAATGTTCAGTTGTCAGTCAAAGCGACACTGAGAAGCTCTTGTATTTAAACACATCACGTTATACGACACGGTGGAGAGAAATAACTGCGACGCTTCAAGGCATCAGATCCCCGATGCTACTGGACGTGCCCACAGGGGGAGTGTGTGCCGCTGTCCCAGGTGCTGAAACGCAGCGGATCAATAGACTCCTCGTGTATCAATGATACGTGAACACACAACAAAGAAAAGCAGGATTTAGTCACCTGAAGAACGTACGCCAACAGCAATAATTATCGTTGTGCCAAACGACCCAAAGAGTTAGAAATAGTCCAATAATAAACAATGAATGTGATTATGAAACCGATATCAGAAACCGGATTTCTGTGACTTGGTAGGGTTTTAGGGGGAAAAGAAGAGGTCTTGCACTCTCTGTCATTTGGTTTCCGGGCAGAGGGTCCGAACCAAGTAACACTTCAAGAAGCCTGAAAGTATTTTGATCATAAAAACATCTTTTTTAAAGAAGGACCGAACAGACACCTGTAGAGGTCTGGGTTGTGTCCCCGAATGCTCGACAAATGACGCCCAAATCTTCTGCGTTAAATAAGGAAAACCACTGGATGCCAGAATGCAGAACGACTCGCTGCACTCAAAGGAAACGAATACACGATGAGCTACAATCGCAGCATGTGTCTATCAAACATGTCGGCATTTAGTTAGATATGGCCGTAACCCCTTTTTTGTGAGGTTTGCACTGACCTTTGACCCCCACACTGTGACCGGCGTACCCCTTTGTGCCAAAGTGGAATCAATCCCCCGCAGACGTTCCTGAGACTTTGCAGACAGACGGACTCGTGAAAGAAAGTACTGACAACCTGAAATCATAAAGCCTCCGGGAAGCTTTAAAAGCAACACGTGTGCAGTTGGTTCCGGCTTTCACAGAACAGTCCCGTCCAACAGAGGCTACGCACAACGCCTGAGTGCAACAACCCTGAAGGACACGGCCAGTGGGAGGCCGAGGACATAGTTTACCACATCGCTTTGGCAGCCCCATTATGCCCGTGCACATGTTAACGCAGGTTCCTCGGGCTGCCGGCGGTTCATGTCGATCGTGTTCTGCATAAGTCAGTGAGCATTTACACAGAGGTGGACAGCAACGCCCCCCCCATCCCCCATAACGGGCTCGGATTCTGATGAGAAGCTGTCCAATCGTTGCAGAAACCCTTCAAGTGCTCTCAGTTGAGCACCTGCTGTGCCAGGAATACTAATTCCCCGCCATCAGGTGCACTTTGTGCCTCTGCAGCATTTAACATGTCACACGGATGCTAATTTATACAGCCTTAACTTCAGTTTAGTTACTCATAAATACGTGATTGGACCATGTGAAATGGTGCAGAATGAGACCACGGCGAATTATTAAGCGTGACTAACCAATGTGGCTCCAGTCTGTGGTATGGATGTGCAGAGATATCTGCATGTCGGTATCAGCAGATAAAAGAAATGAAATTTAGAATTAAAAGAAGAATAGAAATTTACATTTCGCTCAATTTGCATTCTCACTAGTGGCCATCAGGGGGCGACTCCAGTGGTGGCAAAAAGTTGCGACCTCTTTGAGGATTCTGCTGTCAAATGTGCGAGTAACGCAAGGCAACAATTCGCTCAGCTCTTCTACTCTTAAGTCACTGCAGGCATTTTTTCAGCTAATATTGATGAAAAAAAGCAGGTCATATGAGCCAGAAGGATACGTTAGAATACTGTGGCGTTTGACTGAAAACTACAGTAACACCCTGAAAAGATTCTCACACTGAACAGAAATTCAATTTTCCAATTTGAGCTATTTAAAAAATAACTGCTGTTTTTATCACTGTGAAGTTGGTTTAATAAACGCTGAGAATCGGACAATATGAAACACAACTCACCGTACTTACTGTAACTGTCTTTACTGAAAGCAGCCAGAGAGTCTCACAAATGGAAAGCATGAAAAGCAGCATGTTTTTATAGGATTCCCTTTGAAACTTTCATATAAACGACAGATTTCATCAGTTACTTTTCATGAGAAAGCACTTTTAATTACTTTACTAACTAAAGCGTTAAAAAAAAGTCATTTCTTAATGAACACCAGGAGAAAAACTGTTCTGCTCAAATAACACTCGAAATTGTCAATGCGTTTCTTTTATTTGGACTGAAACGCGAAGCCACTTGAGGAACGACCCACCGTTTCCTCCAGAAGCGTCTTCTTATAGCAACACATTTCCCATTCGCAGTCTGTATTTTCTACTGACCATAGTGAGAAGTGGGAAACACTGCGGACTGGATGATTTGAAAGAAAACACTGTTTAACATGATTTCCTTTATTTATTTTTTCCCCAATCTCACTTTAACTGTTATTTGTTTAGTGAAAACTGCCAGAAACACTCAAGGAAATGCTCAAAACGGAATATTATGAAAGAAGACTTTGTCCAACGTGATTTCCTTTACCAAACTATGTAAACTGAATATTATGCACACAGTATGTTACGTAGTGGAGCTCTGAAGCTGTGACGCTCTCCTCAGGAGCTCAAGTGGCTTCTTCACCTCCCACAAACGTATCGCTTCTTACATTTAGTCTTTTTTCATTTGTTTTATACCACAAATATACATAAATAATTCAGCCATTTTATATTGAATCTTTGTTTTTTCCCTTTCAATTATTTCTGCATGCGTGATTTCATTTACATATTTGATGAACGTGGTTGGATGGGATTAATACTGTCATTGCCAACTGTGCACACGACCATGAAACACTCCACACGTCGCTTATTCAGACAGAAAAAACAATTATTCCACTATGATTTGACAAATTACAAATGACAAATCCCTCACTTTGGTGATTTTTGTTCCATCTCCTTGGACACTTGTTGGCGTTTCTGTCCAGGGACTCGGACAAGAAGCTTGAACTCAATAAGAAATGAGAAGATCTACTTGGTTTGTCGCCATGTGTTCGCAAACTGCTGGATTCGTAAACAGAAAAATAAAAAGTCTCTTGTAAGGACGAGCAGGAAAATATCCCCAAGAAACTGACATATTTATTATATTAGAAGCTTTGAAATAAGTTAAGCATAAGCATGCATTATTTTATCTGAGTTTGTATGCGAACATTGGATGAAGCCAGGCTCAAAATGATTGTTTCATTTTGTTGACCAACAAATCCAGAGGGAATTTTCTATATTTCGTATGCTGTCAACAGCCAAAGAAATATTCTATTTTCTTCATGTTTTAAGGAATAAAATGCTATATGAATATATCAGACTACGAATGACCCGACACAAAAACGGTGAATATCAACATTCTAAATCTTCATCGCACATTTTTGGATTACAGATGTTCTAAAATGCTGAACGTTGACGTGTAAATGAGGTGTCATCCAACGGCCGCTTCTTGTGAATTTGGCACAGCAGAAAGAAATAAAGGAACGAAATGTGCCCTGTGGATGTTTTCTTTCCACCGGCCTGGAAGGGGACGCGTCATGGGAGCTAAACCTAAAGTTTGCCTGGACGTTGCCTCCACCAACCTTCTGACCTATTTGACCCCCTCAGACGGCACCAGTACCTTCGGTGTCCACGATGTCCTGCAGGAGGTCATCGGTGTCCAGGCGAACCTCCTGCTGGAACGCGTAAATCTTGATGCTGAAGTCGGAGATCAGGTGGTAGACCCCCTCCACCGTGAAGTAGCAGTTGCGCTCCCCCTTGTCGTCCTCGTACACCAGCAGCGCGCTGCTCCACTTGAAGTGCTTGAACATCGCCGCGAACGTCTCCGCCATCTTCACGTAGGACGGCGCGATGCGCGTCAGGTGGGAGTACTCGCCCTGCTTGTCCCCGAAGGCGGCGGCCAGGGCACCTGCCGAGACCACCGGGATGTCCCAGCGGGACGCCAGCCTCACCACCGCCGCCGCCTCGTACTCGCACACCGGCCCCAGGACCAGGTCCGGCTTGCGCACGCACGAGCGGTCCACCATGGCGAACAGGGCATCGTTCACGCAGTCCGAGTCCTCGAAGTGGACGTGGAAGCGGAACCCGGAGTACCGACCCCCGTCCGCCCCCAGCCGCCGCTGCGCGTAAAGGATCGCGGGCTCGACCCGCGTGTGCGAGAACGGGTACGAGTTGTTCCGCGGCAGGAACACCAGCACCTCCACGTCCTCGGTGAGCAGCGTCCCCGCCGGGCTCAGCAGCGCCAGCAGGCACACGCACAGCGCGCCGGAACGGGGCATGATGCGACTCTCCGGGTCCCCAAGCGCCCCCCTCCCCTCCGACCCCCGCACCGCGAAACACTTCTCAATAAACTGTTTTCTTTTGCCCAAGTTGTGCGCGCGTGCGGCGGAGAGCGGAGCGCGCCCCCGTGAATCAACGCCTGCGCGCCGATGGCGAGTTAGTGAGTGGGTCTCTTAAGAGACGCGCGTGCGCGTGTTTGGTTCTGCGCTGCATGAACGTCTCGCGTGTGGAGGACGCGATGCGATGCGACGATCCGTCCAGCTCCGCGCGCGCCGCCGGGCTGCGCTCCCGAGGATTTAAAGCGGCTTTTTTTTTTCACGGTGGCTGCGACGTCATCGCGGCGCTGGCCCCGCCTCCTTCTTAAAGCGACACGCGGCGCCGCCTCCGCCGCCCGACAGGTGGAAACTAACAACAGAGCCGCGTAGATGGACGCGTATGGTTCACGGTGAGTTAAGAAGTTGTCTTTCCATTTTGAAGTTGATTTGAAGACTCGCTATTCATATAAATCATCATAAATCAACGGTTTGCTGCAAATGAAGACAACAGCAAATATAAAATTGTCAAATTGAGTCACAAACCGTTTGTTGCTTTCATTAAACTGCTCCACAGCTGTTGGTGTCCTTGACACCCATTCATAATGATCCAAGCTGTATCTTCCTTTTCCAATTAATCAAAAAATGACATTAAATATTGACATTCTAAATTTTCCATTTTGAACAAGTAACAAGGGAAGTTTGGAGGAAGCACAGCAAGTGGATTAACAATATTTACACAGTTGAAAAGATCAATAAGTTCAATGAATAATATACATCAAGAAGGTAAACTAACTGATATTTAATAATGCATTTTGTGTATGTGGCTCACTTACTCCTCAATGAGGAGGACAAATCACAGGATGTCAGTCATAAGTACGATGCACAGGCCCTGAAAGCAAAATGAGATCTCATTCAGCGGTTGTTGTGCGGTAGTCCTTTAGTGCCTCGTACCGCAGGAAGTTACACACCCACCAAGGTCGGATCCTTTCAGGTCAGATCACACGAGTCGGAGGAGAAAACAGAAAGGACTAAAAGGAGAGTGAATGTTGTTCATGCATTTATAAGGTGGACTCAAATATAACTGCAATGAACGGTAGTGTGCTGGATGCTCACAACAGCCTGTTATGCCGCCTCCAAGTGGCCAGAAAATCACTACGCAGCTTTAAGTCATTCCAGCCAATTTGACCCTTGCTTGTTGTTCTCCAGCGTTTTAATCTAGAACAAAAACGTTGGGTTGTCTCGGGTAAGAAAATGAACTTTTGTGCCAGCAGAACACACACAACACATTAACGTTTCCACGCAGCACAAAGGTTTAAACAGTGACCGACCTCTGTGCTGTTCCACAATGACAAAAATAAGATGCCTCGGACTTACCGTGGCTCATTAGCGTGCGCCACTAATGACCAACCCGCTGCGCCTGCAGAAGACACATTTCTTTCGAGTGGAATTTGATGTTTTCAACCGCTCTCATTGCGCTGGCAAAGCATTATACCTCTAGATGTGTGCTATCTTTTTCCAAAGAGTCCAAAGTGAGTTTTTGAAGTTGTGGTCGTTGAAGGTCGTCGTGTCACAGCCTCCTTCGCCCACGATGCTCTCGTTTTATGCCTTTGTGCAGATGGACCCACTCATCTAGTTTTCCTGTTTTTGGTTGCTACTGGTTGCACTGATTGGACTTTTAGTGCAATGTGCATGAGCACTATATCGCCAGCGCCGTAAATAGATCATTTTCCGACTTTGGTGTGGAAGAACTCAACAGAGCCGAGACCTCAACCATTAATCAACCCACCTGATGGACTGACCCATCCACCTCACCTGGGGTCTCTGGATGGGCGATGAGCCCTGAATTCCAACATTTTTATGAAGAGCCTGTTAAAAGCAGAACGCTGGAATCACATGTGCCGTGCAGATACCTTTTTTTAACGTACTTGTGGTCAACATTTGCTTTGTGCCACACTTTAACAACCAGAATTATTAATGGAGCTGAACCAAGTTGCCACTTAAGAATGAATTACTTTAGCTAATCAAAACGACCACCAATCCTCTGCAGAAATGTCCAGGCGTCCAGCAATAGACTGTCTCTCCTCCGCTGGCAGCCTTTCACCAGACGACATGGGGAGGAAAAGAGGTGCAGGGTTGTTTGTTTTATTTTTTTCTGTGCACATGTAGTAGAATTTTTCCTTATTTTTCCATTTAATCCTGTTTAGAGATGAGTGAAAACACAAAGGGGTCCATTCTGAGTGACATTGAATGCATTTGGTGTTCAGACCGATGACAGTTGTTGTGTATTCTAAACTAACACTTGACAGCAGGAACAGTAACACACTAGTTTGTGTGCTTCCACTGGCATCTAGTGGTCATTTCTTACATGCACACTGTCGTCGCAGCCATAGTTCCATCATTTGCAATCTTAGAAGTGTGAGTACAAAAAGTAGAAAAGGCTGAAATGATTGAATAGAATGATTGTGCGACAGACACAGTTCTGCAACGGAGAGTTCAGACATGCTGAAGTTACCATGATGGGACCGAAACATGCCATGGACATTTGCACATACAGACTTTATTTAAAAAAAAGAATCTGTGTTCCAAAGGTCATCTATTGTAAACAAACTGCACCTCCCATTTGAAATAAATCATGATTCAGCAAAGTACACCAAAATAGTTGGTGCTCCTTCCAACTGTGGCTCTTTCTACATACACACACATGTACAAGACAAAACACAAAACGTCAAATGAAGTCCATCAGAAAACCTGTAAAGCGCTTGGACATTGGTCCCTCTCAGGAGCTTTCCCTGTCCTTGTTGGTCCCAGTCGGGCTCCTCGGCCTGTGGATGAGGAGCCGGTTGGGCCCTTCGTCGGTGGCTTTGATGATTTTCCAGGCGTCGTGGTGCATGAGGCCTTCCAGAGAACAGCCGTTGATGGACACTACTTCGTCACCAACTTGGATTAACCCGGACAGCTCCGCGGCGCCTCCTGTGGTAGGACAGCGACTCAGGTTAAAGACCACCAGGGCGTTCCTCTCCGCTCCCAGTGGTATCTGTACCACACAGCGCTATAGAAACCGTGTGGTTCATTTACCCGTAGCTAAGCCCCACCCCCAGCGCTAATCCGTCCAGCTGTTTAGTCAACATAAACCCGGACCGCCTGAAGAAATACGCAGGTTTTGTAAAAAGAAAGAAAAAGTGATTTCAGTAAAAACTGGTCAAAGAGATAGAGAAAGTAGAAGAGGTCTTCACGTAACACCGTAAAAGTCATCTACACGTCACCTGATGATCCTGACAATGAACCTGTCTTTATTCACATTAAAAAGTAGTAGTGTGTATACATTCAGTTTACGTTTGTAGGCTGCTAATGTCCCAGGGAACGAGCATCACTACGTATCACTGCGTATCACTGCGTATCACTGCGTATAACTGCGTATCACTATGTATCACTGTGTATCACTACGTATCACTGCGTATAACTGTGTATCACTGCGTATTGCTGTGTATCACTGTGTATCACTGCGTATCACTACGTATCACTGTGTATCACTGCGTATCACTGCGTATAACTGTGTATCACTGCGTATCACTACGTATCACTGTGTATCACTGCGTATCACTACGTATCGCTGTGTATCACTGCGTATCACTGCGTATCACTGCGTATAACTGTGTATCACTGCGTATCACTATGTATCACTATGTATCACTGCGTATCACTATGTATCACTACGTATTACTGCGTATAACTACGTATCACTGTGTATCACTACTTATCACTATGTATCACTGCGTATCACTACATATCACTGCGTATCACTATTTATAACTACGTATCACTGCGTATTACTGCGTATCACTGCGTATCACTATGTAGCACTACGTATCACTACATATCACTGCGTATCACTATGTATCACTGCCTATTACTGCGTATCACTGCGTATCACTATGTAGCACTACGTATCACTACATATCACTGCGTATCACTATGTATCACTGCCTATTACTGCGTATCACTGCGTATCACTATGTATCACTGCGTATCACTACATACCACTATGTATCACTACGTATCACTATGTATCACTGCGTATCACTATGTATCACTACGTATCACTATGTATCACTACGTATCACTATGTATCACTACGTATCACTACGTATCACTGCGTATCACTATGTATCACTACGACCCCCATATTGCTGCTTTGTGAAAATAAATCCTGACTGAATAATAAATAATGATTTCATCACAGGCGTTAACAGATGATTGACTGAATATTTAGCTTTGACGTGGACTTCTCTTCTAGGAAGCAGGGGTCACCTTTAAAGATGCGTTTGACGGTGAGAGGCCTGTCTCCGTGGGACGGCGACTTCCCCCCTTCCAGACTGAAACCCAGGCCGGCGGAGGACTTGTGGAGCTCCACCGTTAGAGTGCCGTCTGGACCCACGTCCACAACTGCGGGGGGAAACAATGAAGGTTGACGAGGTGACCAATAATATGGAAACAGGTAAGGAGGGGAGGAACTCCTCTACTGTGGCAGAAGCCTTACCTGCTGCGGCCCCCGGACACCTCCTCCCAGTGTTGCTGGTCCTCTTTGGCCGGCCGGAGTCCTGTGTGTCCGAGGCGCCCGGTTCGCTGTCCTCGTCCCTCCAGATGACCACCAAGGCTTGACTGGACAACCTGGCTTGGTGGAGGCTGGAGACCGCCTCGGCGTGGGTCTTCCCTGCCAGACTGGTGCCGTTTATGGACAAGAGGCTGTCCCCTCTCTGGATTGTTCCCTCGAGGCTCGCTGTCCCTTTGGTGAAGACCCGATGGACCTGAACGAATCAGAGCGCACCATTGGTCGGGCTCTCATGCAGTCGGTTCACATATTTGCTTGAGTGGATTTAAAGGCTGATCAGGTTGTGTAATAGTTGTGACCCGGAGGACATCAGCAGAGTGCTGATCATTGAAGAGCTACCCAGCCTCACAGGAACTGTGCTGTTCCCTCACTTCTAGATCCTCGTCACTTTCACAATGTGAACCGGTGGCTTTAGCTTCTATTTTCCTTATTTCTGCTTTTCTGTCTGGTGTCTGCTGGTTTGTCCCATGTGTAATATCAATTAAGGACGTGTGCTCAGTGTGGGCCCTGAAGGCGGGGCTTACTTGGTCCAATACGCTTTGTTGTGGCTCAGTGTTGTTGTATGGAGGTCATGCTGTTTGTTCATTGAACGATTGTGTTGTGCTGTCACAGCGTCTGATCTACACACACTAACACACCTCATCAAGATCTCTTTTTTAAGACAACCCTGTCTTACACCTCCTCTTCTGTCTCTCGAAAGAAAGGCAAACGTTGCCGGACACAACAAATGAAATCCCTGACTGTTTTAATCCCCCAGGAGTAGTATGAAGAGAGGGTGGCCGCGCCCATTGGAAGACAGCGTACTTACAGTTATGGCCTTCTGCTCAAGGTCGACTCCGCCGGCAACACTGAAGCCGAGCCCCGAGCCTTCCTCTTTGCTCAGGACCACCAGCTGAGCGTTACCGTTGACCTGCAGGCAGGTCAGACGCAGAGTGAGTGTGACAACCAAAGGTATACGGCCAGTAGGACGGACACCGCACTGCTACTAGCGTCACCTCAGAGAGACCCTCGGTCTCCTGCAGCAGGGCCGACACGTAGGACTGAAGCGCCGGGGAGGAGAGCAGGGTTTGCAGCTTACGCCGACTCAGCGGAGAGGAAGCCAGCTCCTTTAAGCTGCAGACGAAAAGGAGCTAATGAGGTTATCCACACCAGTTTACGATGACTTCTACAACAATGTGTTCCTCACAAATGCTTCTAATGTGATTAGTCAGGGTTCCTCAGTATTAAGAACAGACCAGAAAACAAGCCCCAATCTGAGCCAGCAGGTCTGAATAGCATCAGGGTCATCCTCCCTAAGCTGTTATTACGATACTAAATACTAATGTTATCTATGGAGTCGGTCAGTCCTGATCATTTTCTGAATATTAAGCATTTAAATGTCATGTCTACATTGACCAATCCATCATCCCTTCTAACATCCAGGACTTTGGTTGTGGGTCTGGACTCTGTGGATGTGCAGCATCGGCAACGAGAGCAAATAAGCACACAGCTGCCATCCCATTCGCAGACACAACGCTGCTGATCTGAGACCAACGGGCCACTACAAACTAGCAGGAGGAGCGCAGACTGAGACACACAGAAAATGGTGTGCCCTAGTAAGGACCTCGGCGCCACGTTAAGGAGCCGATAGAGAAAATGAACCAATGCAAACTGGTTTCTCGTTCTTAATAAAACCAAATATTCTCAAATTCATATGCCCAGTCTTGAAATATTTATAATAACTTTTATAATGAAATTGCCATATTGTCATGATATTTCCTCTCTTTCATAGCTGCCCGTGTCTTACTACAACTGCTGGGAGCAGCAACGACGGACATTTTGCCATACACGCGATCGAAAGGCTTCAATGTCCTTCAAGTATCTTAAAAACATCTACCCGCCTACACGCCACTACTCTACCTATTGGCTGGTTTAGAGGAGTGCAAACTGAGACTTGTCTATCGTACTAAAACACTATCACTACCACTGTAGCTTTGATGCCTTATTGGCCACATTTTGTCTGGTTAAATGAAATAATTGAACTCCCCACCTGACTGCCCAGCCAGGCTGGTGTCCGTGGGTTTCTGGGGTCTCCTGAGCTTCTTTCGTGGATGCAGCATCCCTTCTGCTGTCCCTGTTCACGTCAGCTCTATTCGGGGTTGCAGAAGGTGGAACACTGTCTGTTGCTTTCTTGTGTATGGTGGTCGTATCCACGGCAGCATCGAGGTCTCTGGTAAAGTCCTCGCTGCATAGTTTTTCCAGTTCGGGCATGCTGAGAGCCCTGAGCTGCCGTAACCTGCTGCGGGCCAGTTTGCCGTGTTTCCTGCGTAGCAACTGAGGGGTCTGCGGGGCCGTCCCATCTGGCGCTCTGAGACCTCGACCCTCTGGACTGCCGTCCGCCACAGGGGAGGCTTCATAGCTCGAATGAGGGAGCTCTAGGTTGAGCAGTGTGATGCTGGATGGAGATTTCCTGAGGAGAGGTGAGCCGGGCGCAGTGGTGATCAGGTTCTCCACGTAAGAACTAAAACTCCGTTGCCGCGGCCGGCAGTCGATAGAATTGACGACGTCCATGTAACCCGCGATCCTTTGGTTAAGCGAGGCTCTGTACGCCAGAGCGTAGGACTGGATCTCACTGCTTTTAGCCACCGGCCTGTCAAAGTTAGCCAGGTTTTCAAAGGACTTTATCTTGTGTCGGACAGAGAAAGGATTGTGGCCCGCTGACAAGGCCAGGTCTGTGGTGAGGCATCGCTTCTCCATCGTCTTTATGTACAGTCTGGACATGCTTATCTTCAGGGTCTCACTCGTCTCTACAATAGTACTGGGTTTTGAGCCATTCCTTGAGGGTGAGTCAGTTTCTTTAGCATAACACAGAGAATTAAACACGGTGTTACTAACCGGGCCGTTGGTCTTTTCATCCGTGCAGTCGGCAGGAGAAAGCTTGGAGGCTGATCCAGAGTCTGTGCCTCTTTCAGTGGGTTTAGAGTATTCGGAATTCCCGGTTTCTTTGTTTGCCATAACTGGTGGTAAAGAAGCAGAGATGGAAGACAGTCGAACTTCTATGAATGTTCTCTGAGTGGCAGTAGTGTGTGATTTGGAGCTTGAATGGACCTCTTGGGCCAGTTGCACCGTTTGTGACTTGCTACCTGAAGGCCTGTGCTCAGCTGCTGCTTGCCTTCTGTCACTTGCTTTGGGCAGATCGAGGCATTGGCTGGTGGTCTTCAGAGAGCTGGACGTAGTTGCCGTTGATGCAGATTTTGGTGGCTGGTTGAAGGAAGCATTGGTGTGTAAGGATACTAGACTTTCCCTGCCGGTCAGCTGCTCCAGTGCTTTGTTCTTACTTTTAATACTGAGGCCCTTCAATTTTGGAGCATTTGTGATTGGTCTGATATGAGTTTCGACCTGGAGTTTATAGTTACTACTCCACCCGGGAGAGTCAATACTATCAAGAAGTTTCAGCCCAGAGTTCCTCTTCAACACGGAGATAACATGGGGGTTTAAATTGGTTCTACACTCCAAGGCCTTTTCTTTGCTCGTCATTGATGCTGCCACTCTCGTACCCAGTTGGTCTGTGCTTGTACCCGAGTTCTTTGACTCCATCGAAGGTGAATGGAGTGTTTTTGTATTCAAGGGCTTTAATAAAGAAGAGGTCAGTGAGGCATCTGAATTCAAATTGGTAGTCGTAGCGACCTTGTCGGTTGTGTGGGTCCTTGGTGCAGAGGGAATGCTTGTGGGAGTGGATGTCACACCTTGAATGGCACTGTTGTTGTGGCACTCTGAGGAATTCACAGGTGTTGTACTGTTGGGAGATTGGCATGGTTGCACCAAGCTGTGGTCCAGGGATGTGTTTTCACTGCCAGCATGCGGAAAAGATGGCGACCCGATGGCTGAGTGGCTTAAATGAGAGATTTCATCAGCAGCAGGTTGCTTGGCATCACATGAACAGAACTCCACTTCCTCCTCATCGGAGGGCTGATGAAGAATACCAGCACTTCCTGCCATCCCATTGACCACTACAATGCTGTCAGTGGAGGAGCTGCTGTTGGAATCGCTTTCATCTTCTACGGGGTACATCGACTTTGAACCGGCATCAAGTCTTTGGGGAAGTGAGCCGCTGGAGACAGGAGAGCTTTCTGTCTCTATAGGGGACATGGCCTTTTTTTCATTTCCTGCATCCAAGGTGGAACCGTCCAGAGGGGGGGACTTTATTGGAACCTGAACGCCAGCTTTCTCATACTGGGTTACTGTCTGCTGGCTTGAGTGGCAGGACACAGGCTCATTAGACGGATGTCTGGGGGAATTAGTGTGTGTATTTGTAGTACTGCAGAGGCTTAGTTCTGATAAGATATCATCTATATTGGTGATGGGGATTTGAAAGTCTGTTTCGTTGGCGTAGTTGGAATTCCCTGAATCTGCACCCATTACTTGTCCTTCCTTAGCTGTCCCCTGAACTGGTCTGGGGGGGTTTGGTGCGGTGGCTCCGTCACTGCTCCCTGATGAAGTGATCAAACTGGACAGCCGATCTACAGCTGGGACCAAAAATACAGAGAAAGCTGTTGAGTTTGAGCTGGATGAGAAGCGCTGGGTTGAGCGTGTGAGCTAACAAGGTAAGAGACTCTTCTAGATTCTACGGCGGGGGTGTCAAACTCGTTTTAGGTCGGGGGCCACGTACTGTCCACTTTGATGTCACGCGGGTCGGACCAGTAAAATCACCGGCGATGGTCTGGTCAACGTGAAGGGGGTGGGGGGGTCTGTCGTCGATCCTGGTCTGACGCATGCGCTCACTCACAGAGTGCGACCCCCCAGTGGACTTTTTAGAAATAGCAGCTATTTTTTTTTATAGAAATGCAAATTATGTCTTTGTCATTTTTACACTCAGCAAAGTCATCCGGCGGGACGCACTGGACCCCCCGGCGGGCCGGATCCGGCCGTATGTTTGACACCCCTGCTCAAAGGGTTACAATACGACCCACAGACTACAGTAGGGGGCGGAGCCTGTGCAAGTTGAAATATATGAAGGTTTTGTTAACATAGTAAACAATGTTAGTGCTGTCCTTTTAAAAAAAATAGTATAAAAAATATAAAAAAATAGTGCTGTCCTTTTACATAGTAAAAGGACAGCACTTATATATTATGCACTTGGCCTCTCGTTCACACAGGCCGTCTGTAAAAAACTCTTTTAGCTTGTAACACAGTGTCACGCCGTAGCAAGATCATTTAAGAAGAACGGCCGGGGTGATTGCTTTTCAGTAATTCTTTGTCAGTCTGATCTTTGGGATTCTCTACTGAGCAAGTTGTTTCTGTGTTTCAACTTCAGCTTAGTCAGAAAATGTGTTTCAATTTGAATTTATATTAAAAGGAATCCGCTCACCAAAGTCTATGAGCAGGCCACGATGTCTGTGAGGTACCTTAGTAATTCAGAGGCAAACGTACATCATCTGCAGCGGAAACAGGGTCCGAGAGGCCTTTAAAAACTAAACCTAACATCTTTAGAAATACCTCAAATAGAGTGAAAGCTTTGGAGTAACATATCTGCAACTATAAATTATTGGAAACGTTTTTATCGGAATTATTATTATTATGTAGTGGTTACATTATATCAGCAAAGACAAATCGGCGGTGTGTGTGTGTGTGTGTGTCTTGGTTACAGTAGACGGGAGTGAATGAATTGATTCATTGCGTTTCTATCAGCAGACATTGCTGTGGTCGTTCTACACAAGCTCCCCTCAGTATTTCCTCTGTCGGGTCTCTTATGTGACAGATTCATTTTGGAATGAATGGCTAAATATTTCCAATACGGACAAAAGGATCTCATTAAAATCACTTTCCTCACGATACGGAGACAAAAGGAACAGTGATCCACAGCAATGTCCACGCTACGCTAAGCTAGGACTAAGACTACGTCTCTCCACATAGACGGCATTTACCATAAAACAGTCCTGCTAACAAAAGGTCCAATACACTGCAGAAGATAGTCACCGTGGATAGAAAGCCAGAGGGTTGCAGCTTGCTTTGGGGAAGTAAGGGAGAGTTGATCCTACATCTCAAGGCGGCGTAAAAGGTACTACTGCTCGTAACGAACATACATGATATACAGCACATCTGCAGAAACGTATCTAAAGTTCACCTAAAATCCCATTTAGTGCAGGCTTATTGGAGGCAAACATTTGGGACCTGAAGAGTTGCTTATTCTTTTATATATCGGTAAATATAAAAAAGTCTGTTGGTTTACAGGTCCAACAAATGGAGGCAGACAACAATTCTCTCGTTTTGACGGTATGCAGCCGCCAATCAACCTAAAGCACGTGTCTTTGGACGAGGACAATGTTAGGTGGACTTTAGATGGACAACACTGCACAGTGGTTGGGACACTAAGCTAAGCTAGCCAGTTGTTTCTCAAAATGATAGTATAGTTAACAGTAGAATCGTACCAGAATAAGACTGCTGTCAATAAAATATCTAATGTGACATTTTGGTATATTTCAAGCGTTTTAGCCATTAACTAGCTAGAGCACTCGCCATCCTTCATTGTAGAGTTTAGTGGAAACGAGGATCAGCGCTAAACAAAGAATTGGGACAAGCATAGATTATTATTTGGAGTCTGACTGAAAGCAGTCACATGCATCCTCACGCTGTTATCCAACGGGGTTATTGCCACATTCTGCTTCTCATATTCATTTAGAACCATGATGTTGTTCTGTAAAGCGTGAAGGAGGCCTCGGACAGTTTCCATCATTGATGTAATTTTGCGTCCTGAGTCTCTCACAGGATGAACTACACCACCTTTTGCGTCCATGTTTACTCTACTGATTAACTCCTGGACGACGTCACGGCACAACTTGAGCCCGATTCAATGGATTTAACATTTTTGAGGGACTACGGTTCGGACCGCATCAGACCTCTGCATCAGGAACCCTGCTACTTCAAAAGAATCTACCTTTGAGACCATAGCACACTGACGCTGGACGACCCACAGCCTCTAGAATAAAGGCCCCAATAACGAGGTCTTACCTGAAACCGGTCTCTTGATCTCCAGGGACAGAGTGATGGGAAGGTTGTGCATGAGCTCACAGATGTCCTGGTAAGTAGAGGAGCGCACCGACGTTTCCCCAATTCTGACGATCTCGTCTCCAGGACAAAGGTTTCCTGTAGTTTCCTGGGAGCATGATTGAACAAGGAGGTACCGTTATATGTCATGATACTTGGAATAAACTCATTCAAACAGAGAGGTTTGGGGCTAAAGTCCACCGATCTACGCCGGTGAGAAGACCTAACCAGTCACACGTACCCTTTCTGCCGCCCCCCCGGGCCTCAGCGCAACGATGACCACTTTCAGAGGGGACGACGTGATCTCCAGGTCCAGACCGAACGACTCGTCCTCGCTTCTCCTCAGCGTCACAGAGTCGATGGTACAGACACCCACGAGCTCACTGGCATCCCCCCTCTTGCAGGGCTGATGGGGTACCGAGCCACCAGCCGCCTTGGGGTTTCTTCCACACTGGGTGGCTTGGGAAGGGGGCAGACCCAAGCCTGGGGAGGGATCCTCCGCTTTGGCCTTCTGCTGCTGGGGCAGGTTGGGCGCCTCGATGCTCATCATACTCTTGACCCGCGTCACTGCTTTATGTTCCAGCTTGGGGGAGCGCTTTGACTCCAGCTGTCCGTCCTCTTGGTGCGGATGGTTCTCACTGTTGATGACCAAAGCGCTCGCCCCCCCTGGCTTGCGAATGGGCATAAGGGGCCCCTCGGGTGACTCTGACTCGATGGCAATTCCTTCCTCACACTGCGGGAAACTACCATCATCATGGCTCCCGCCCTTGTGCACATCGCCCTCTTCCCTGTTTCCATTTAGATCTAACGGCGGCGGAGCTTGGGATGCTGGGCCGCCGCCGCTGCGGTTGGGTGGGTCCACTTTTGTCGGCCTGTGGGGGAGCCCGGTGTTTCTGGCTTGCTCTCCGTCCTCCTCCTTGCTGAGCTCATCCTCGAAGCACATCAGCCGCCGCTGGCGGAGCAGCGGGCTTCGCGCGAGGGCGGGGCTGCAGACGCCGACGGGCTGGCCGACTGCCTCCACGTGGTGATCGACGCGGGTCTCGTCTTGCGATGCATTGCGCCCGGGGCCACTCTCCACGTCTGTTAGAGAAGGGGCGAATAGCGACAATAAGTCCTCCGCGATGCTAAATAAACACAGACAGATGAAGATGGTCGTTTCCTGGGTGGAGCTTGGATTAAGGGAGGACCTCGATCTAGGACCGATAAACCCGCTTTAATATTGGCTTAAAGTCAAATGAGGGCTCATGCCAAACTCGGGCTGCTCCATCATGAGGTTCCCAATGGGGGCGGAAACATGGTGGAGAATTTTGTCATCAATCACTGGCACTGGGAGACACGTCCACTGGCTGAAACCTTTAAATGCCTTCTGACATATATAGACAAATATCTGCTTTTACAGTTTTTAGAGCTTGTTAAGGAAACGGCTAAAGCCACTTCCATTCACAACGATAATCAATGCAGGTAAACATCCGCTCAGTACAACGTCCCTTTAGTCCGGGCGAAGCCGCAAACCTCCCCCCGCTATTTAAATGGCTGAATTTGTCTTCACCAAGTGGCCGTGCTGAGTTGTCATCCATGGAAGTGCTGCAGCTCCCCGGCTGGAGCGCCTCGTCGCTGGTGGAGCCCATCAGCACGGACTCGGAGGAGAAGGAGTGGCCGGAAGCATCCTGGGAGAAGTACTGAGATAACTCCGTCTCTGAGCTCAGAGACCCGTGCTGCTCCCAAACACAAATCAGATGGAAGACAGTGAGGACAACAGTGCCACACCAGCGCCACCCTGTCTGAGGATTAAGAGAAAACGCCCGCAAACGTACTCTGCTGGCCGGCTCCAGGAACCTCTTCATGGTCCAGCTGAGATCCAGGGGGGAATCTCCCTGCCTGTCCTTCAGCGTCGGGCCGGGGCTCTTACAGGACACACCTACGCATCATACAACCGGGGACAGATAGCATCTGAGACACGCTGTCGCTAACTGACGTTAGCGCCCAGTTCTGCTGCAGCACTCGGGTCGAAACACCCGTAAAATGATTGGCGAGCAGGAGCGTGCGGACGACGCTGAAAGGTATCTGACCTTGGGGGTGAGACGATGGTCGGCTTTTGCTCATTTTGTCGCGCTGTGTGGATCGAGCTATGATGTGATCCATCTCCTGTTCCGACACCTGAGAGAAGATAATGACATGCGAGAGTTGTAACCTGCAACCACAACACTACGAACAGACAATGCATTCATTTGAATGAGTTACAGTACAGCTCCTTGCATAGAGACACGCATTCCCTTACCTTGGGGTTCGGGTGCCTGCTGATTATTAGACTGACAGGTCCGGGGCCACATTCGCTGAGGATGGCATAGGCCTCGCTGAGAGCGGCGTGACGGAGGCTGACCGAGTCCACCTCCAGGATCTGATCCCCACGACTGCACGGAGGAGCAGATCTACGTCAAGGACCTCTTTGAAATGTACAATTACATTTAAACATCATGAGCACAACCTGACAGCAACTGATATAAACCAATGCTATTTTCCTTCCTGTGTGGATGACAAGAGGACCGGTGGAAAAAACATTGTTAAATATGTGTTTTCATCAGTGAAACAGGAGGGAGAAACGCTTCCGTTCGCCCTCGGATGGCAGACACACATTCTTCCTCTTACCTGTGGTACCGTGCAGTGAGGTTTGCCCTCTCTTGTAACACGATCAAAAGAATAACAGCGACGATGAAATAACGCCTCTATGAAACTTCTCTGAACATATCGCCCGTCAAAGCAACAGCCTCTGTAGAGAGACGACGACGCGACCCAAATGCCATCTCCGTTATATTGGAGGGAAGGCAGACATCTCTATGGCCGATATCTCAATCTACTTCTGAATCGTCCTCTGAAGTGATGAAACAGGTGTGAAAACAATTTGGATGAGACTTCTTTCTCGCTTGCCTCTCTTATTTTAGCTTTAACGCGCTAATGTCAAAGCATGCGAATCATTTGCGTTTCAGTTTCCAAGTTTGTTTCCAAGTTCGTTTGTTTTACCTGAGCCTGCTGTCCATCTTGGCCACAGATCCCAGAGCCAAGCTATGGATGTAGATGCCAGGGGCGGTGTTCTCCAGGGTGAGACAGCAGACTCCGATCCCAAGACCAACACTGGGCTCTAAACAGAAACGCACCTCCTTGTGAGGTATGGCTGCTAACCCAGACATGTCATTCCTTTGGCCACACTGTCCCAATACATTTGTACTTCTAGTCTCAGTCCATGTTTCCTAATTCACACCCATTGGTTGAATAGAAATGGCTGCACGACGTGTTATTCGGGTTGCCAATAATATTTAACATTTACATCTGCAGTTCCCCTGTGAACCACATGAGGGCGCTTGAGTGTTTGTATTGTGTGATAAATGCAGCCGGTTCCCTCTACTGATTAGAGGAAAAGGGTCTATTAAGTCCCCTACATGCATGTATTGGGTCTCAGTTATCAAGCATTTACCACAGCTGTCAATAAAATGCATTAATCACAGTTGTTATTTCTCAAACATATTTATTCTAATTTGCTGCTTTACTTTCCAAAACAACGGTCAGGGACTATAAATCTGGTCGAGCTGCCCCCTCGCTTTGAATGAGCCGTTCCTGGAAAAAACAACGTTTGGGAAACACTGCTTTGTGTATATTCTGATATTTTTGTATTTATATGTGTAGAATTTTAAAGCCTGAATCACGATATGTATCCCGACACCAGATTTGTGCAATTACACCTAACAAGCGAGGGGGGGTCTCTTGGTTCTCCGTCAGGTCAGCCAACCTTTATTAAGTGTGACCTCCATGATGATGCAGTCCTTGGGACCAGGTCCGGGGCCCTTGTGGCCATCAGCCTCCTCACCCCCTGGGGGGACGGGTGTTCCCCCGCTGGTGTTGGAGTTGGGGGAGCTGGAGCGGCTGGGGAGGGTGGGGGTGGGACAGGGGGTCAGGCTGGGACTGCGCAGGCGGGTTCGGATTGTCAACGTCACCACACCTTTTTTCAGTTGCTGTTGGAAGAAAATCAAACGAACAAGACATAAACACGCGTACAATGAGGTATAACGCAACAAGCGGCTAATAACACGGATATGCCCCTGATTTTAACGCAGTATGAGAATGTCCATCATGCATGGAATGGTACTGAATTGATTTAGCTTTTTTACTTCAAAATCTACTAGTTTGTAAAAAGACCCAAGACCCTCAGTTTAGTTGCCGCAGAGCCTAAAAATCCATAAAGTCAAAGAGATGCTTTTGTCGGAAGGACAATCGGATGTTGTCGTCCGAGACATTTTTAGTAAATCAAACAAGTTGGACTTTGTTCAGCATTTTGCGCTGAACTGTTCTACACAACAGCGTTAGACGGAACATATTGCGATCGCGCGTTCCACCTTGAAGGTCTGGATGGCCTGTTGGTGCGTGAGTCCTTGCAGGGACTCCCCGTTCACTTCCAGGACCTCGTCCCCTGCACAGGGAAGCACACAGTCAGATAAGGCCGTGTTGTAAATGGAGATCGCAGAGTGGATGAATGGAGATAAACAGCCACCCTCTTTCAGTCGTCCGTCTGCGGCTGCGGCTCCGTGAGGGAAAATAGTCTTGACAAAAATTCCCATCTGACCGCGAGCCGAGTCGTGCCCACCAACAATGCTGAATCCCAGGCCCTATGAGAGGCAGAGCTCAGGTCACAAGGGAGGATAATGACACAGTAGCAGTGTTCTTCTGAGGATATCGTTCCCGTATGGCGGAGAAACGAGAGCGCATAGTACCGTTACCCCACTGAGGAGCTGCAGTGCCAGAATACAGGCTTCCCTGTGGTTCCTGGTCTCAAGCGGTAGGATGGGAGCCAGAGACTATCAGGTGCAGTCCGGGGGGCAGACACACTCACCACATTTAACCCCCCTCTTTGATTACGCTGATAGGGCCGGCTCAGGGCTCATAGGGCCGGCTCAGGGCTCATAGGGCCGGCTCAGGGCTCATAGGGCCGGCTCAGGGCTCATAGGGCCGGCTCAGCTCTGCCTGCACCAACACTCCTAAAGGAAGCGACTGCCGGTGGACTTCCTAGGATACACTGAGTTCCTCTTTTCTCTCTCTCTCTCCCTCTTTGTGAATCGATGTAATGCACATCACTAATGTTGCTTCAGGTCTATAACCACACTGCGGTTGTGTGTACTGCTGTGGCCCTTCAGAGACCCACTGCTACTGCTTTTATATAGTCACATTTTTATTACCATCACTTTTACTCACACATGCTTTTATCATTATTATTATATGCTGCCGCTATTATTATAGTCAAAGTTTTTCCATCACGATTCTGCGTACAACTCTCATTATAGGACAGAGGATTTTAACCTCCTCTGGTGTTTGTGATTCAGTGAGTGTACAAATGCATTGAATAAGCTCCAATCTTGATGTTTCTGTTTTGTAATATTGCCCTCCTGCCCCAGCACTGTAGTCATCATTTTATGTATTACCCTTAATGAAGCTACACCTTATGGAAAGGATTCAATCCCTTCAGGGTGCAGTGGAGTACAGCCACACTCTTATATTGCTAGATTACATGTAAATGTAGCACTTAAAGTGCATTCTCTGAGCTTTATTCATGCGCACGTGTCAACTAGAGTGCACTCACCTTGCCCTGGCCTTTCATCAGCACTATGCTGGAGATAATGGACGGCTGCGCCAGTCGCCATGGAGACTCCACTTGAATGGTGCTCAGGGAGCGGGCTGATTTCTTAATGATCTGATAATCCTAAAAGGAAAATGAATATGAGAAAAGCTAAAACATAGTCGGGCAAATTCATCGAGTTATTGATAGTGTGGAGAGATGTTTGTGTTTTCGTTCTAATGGGACATTTGCTTTGTTCCCTCATACTTACTCAACATGCAATGACTTAACAGGGGTTCTAAATGTTTTTGGATGCAGATCTTTTATTGTTGGTCATTGATGACTTGTGTATATATTTATAGTACAGCTAATTGTTTAATACAGTCCTATCCATACCTTGCTTTCACCCGTTCATTTCCCTGGCTGTTATTTCGTTTTGCTGCATTAATACATTGAGTTAGATTCCTTGTACGTGCATTAATGTCCCTTTTCTATTTAAGTCCAGTATATAAATGCATTTACATCCCTCTATCTTTCCCATCATATACATAATGTATGTGTGCTTATGATTCACGTGCAGGTTTTTATTTAAGGCAGATGCTTCTGAGGGCTGCAAAGAAAATCAATTCCTATTTTCCACCTCCAGTTCTCGCATTTCAGAGTGAATGTGTTTCTGGTTAGATGCCTAAAATAAGGTCTGCGGTTCTACGAGAACTTGAGACACATCGGCGTTTTGCTTTAGGACTCAAGAGATCACAGAAGATACTCCTCGTAAATTTTTCGAGGCTTTGCAGTGTCTTAAAAGCAGTGATTGCTATTTAGAGAATAAGACTACAACTCGTCATCACACACACACAAAGGTCGTTGGGTATCTGGGCCTCAATCTGGTGTGGAAATGAGATTTTATGATCCGTATATGTCCGTCTTCGGTGATGACAGCAGAAGAGGCGTTGGCTGACCTGTCTCACTCCAGCGGTGTCCAGCTGTTGAGGTAAGGAGTGTTTGCGGTGTCCGGGTGGAGGCTTCTCCGTCCTTTCACAGCTGCTCACACCGTTCCCCACCAACAGTTCATCGTCCTCCCCCACCGACTCCAGGCGACTGCACCCTCCTGGGCCACCAGACGAGAATCACTTTAATCTCTGGGAGCGATACTGACCCATGAATTCTATTCCCCCATCCACCCATATGAATAGACAGCAAAGAGATTACGCTGTTACAGGCAAACACAGGGTTTCTAATTTGAAATAACATTCCCAGTGCAGCACCGACCCTGGGAGCGACTGCCGGGCTTCATGGACGTGGGGCTGCAGCAGGATCCTCTGGGTGCGTCGCCATGACTCTGTCCCTCTGGTTTCTCCAGGTCACTCAGCTGTAACAGGGAGAGAAGGTGCAGGGATCCTCAGCTCTTAAACAAATATGCACTGGCTACTGTCTGGTACCATCACACCACTAGTAGTCTGTTCATACACACACGGCCCTTTGTTGGATAACATCCCACGTCCTGTTGGTTGAACAGTGAATATACTGCGTTCGACCCCTGATGCCTCCGTCACATCCGGCCCAGGGAGCCAAGCAATGGGTGACCCACCCTACCGCCTCCGATTGACAATACCATAGGGCTTCTTCGGCTAGGAAATCTGCTTTAGACCTGCATTCTTTCCAGTAGGGGGCGACTGCTCCGCTTTTATAGAAGTCTATGAGAAAGTTCCTTCCCTCTTGATTTATTCCCTCAGTAAACATGATAATAAGTAAATAATAATGAGTTCTTCTTCGATAGAGTACAATGTTGCTCCACTGAGTTACTAAGTACCAGGCTGGGGGGGTGTGGGTCGGGGCTGCAGTCTGAGGCCGGAGCGGTCTGAGACAGGGAGGACAATGAATTGCAGGTGTTGACCAGGTCGGGTAGGCTGGTGGAGGGGAAGCGCTCAAAACCCACGTCTGACTCCTCCTGCAAGGACGCAAAAGAAAGATTCAGATTTCCTTTTCATTTATGCAAAATTGTTCAGATAAAGGAAAAGGGATGTGTTGTATGACTCGATTTCACACGGGAAAAATACAAATAAACTTTATTTTGTAACAGCTGTTCTCACAGCTGGAGCATCTCTTCATTGACCCTTCATTGATCGTCGGTTCGATGCCAGGCTCTGCTAACCCGCTTGTGGATGTGTCCTCGGGCAAGTCAAGAGCATAAAACAGTCTTAATATGAAAATAATATTGTTCATGTCATCATTTCCCGAGAAGTAAATTGTCCAAAAAGAAAGCGTTTTCTCTCCACAGCTCTTGTCTTCTGCGATGCCTTGCAGGAAAAGAGGAGCGTTCAGTGGCGTCATCATACGTTTCATGTCGTTTGGTGCAGCTGGAAGAAGTGCCACGCGGTGCAGGTGGTCATGTGGGTTTTCTGTGTGTGTTCTCACCCATCCAGTTACAATGGTGAGTGCTGTCCAGGGTGCTGAACCTGGAGCTGTCTAGTGCCGCGCGTCGGTAGTAGTCGGCGTTTTTATGCTTTACCGTATCTTACACTCAAAGCAGTTATAGTTTGTCACCTGTGTTTGTGAGTGATTGTTGTGCTTTGGCCACAGCAACATTTCGCCTGTGTGTGTGTGTGTGTGTGTGTGTGTGTGCACCTACCCTGCTGGCCACCACCAGCTGGACCAGCCCAGAGGTGGAGCGGAGGATAGCGACCGCCTCCTGATGAGTGAGACCCACCAGAGACTGACCGTTAATCATCAGCAACTCATCGCCGGCCTGAAGGCGTCCGTCCCTTAAACACACAGACACACACGCACACACAGCCATTAGACATCATGCTGTACACAAACGCACACAAACGCTGCACATCACTATAATGGCGAAATAGGAAATGAAGCTGGCGGCGCGTTCAGACGGTCAAACTGAGAGGCATTGTGGGAAACGCTCTCCAGGCGTGTGTTTAAAAAGAGCTACAAATAATACACAAACTCAAAACAAAACCAACAAAACTTGAAGGCCTGAACTATGAGCTCCTTGGTGAGGGACGTAAAAAATAATATATAATACAATGAGAGAAGAAAACAACTTTATACTCATTTAAACGGGTGAAAAAGGGGTCTCCAAGAAAGTATCAAGCTGTAGGACACTGTGGACCACTATTAATGCCCACAAAACAAACTTGCTATAGTAATCGTTGCATCTTATGCTTCTGGAAATGTAAAAACCACACAAAGGAGCACATTCAGAAAACTTGTGATTACAACATTTGCTACAAAGGATTGCAATTATTGCACGTGAACGTAGTGAACAGCACAATCCCCTTTAGGCCACATGCATCACATTACAGCTGACGCTTTTATCCAAAGCGACTTACATTACATTTTTAACCCACGGCTTTTTACATTTTTGCCTGGGGAGCACTTCGGGGTTAGGTGTCCCACCACACACATCCTGACACTATTCGGACTGAGCGTACCTGTAAATGGCGCCCGCCTTCTCCACGTGAGCTATAACGATGCCGTGGGGGGAGCGCTTGGAGCCGCGCCCTCCTGTAATCTGGATGCCCAGGCCCTCCTCGCCCTTCACCATGTGCATCTTCCAGATGTAGCTGCCCTCTCTGGGCTACAGAGACGAACACACAGTAGGTCACAACAACGCAAGAATCAGCCCAGCAGAAGCTCAGGTAATGGTCAGTTTGGGAATGAGGATCAGGTTGCAGTGAGCTGTTGGCCAGAAAGAAGAAACATTTAAATAAAAGGTCTTTGGACTCTTTGAATACCCTCCACTGCACCAATATCGTTGTCTTTTAAATCAAGAAGCATCAATAGGGTCTAAAAATCAAAGCATTGTAGAGTTGCCCAAAGCGACAGTACCTCTTATGTCCACTTGGGGCAGGCTACAGTGCAGTGACTGTTAAAGCTGCAGGGTGAGTCTCTTCTGGTTACTTCTCTCTTGATTTATTCCCTCAGTAAACATTGGAAACATCTTCTTCAGTACAGTGTGATGTGCATTTATTAGGTTGCTCCATTTAGAGTCAAATGGGCCGTACGCTTTAGGGCAGCCGCACTGTGATTGACAGGTCGCCGCTGCTACCAGGGCTGTTTGCGACACTCCTCTGCATTACAAATATGGTTATTTCCCTCATTGCCGGCAAAAACACAACCTGAGCTTCGGTTGACTCTGCATTTAATCTGCACTCACATCTCAAAAACTAGTGGGGGAAATGTTCCCGAGAGGCTCCACGTGCTAACATGCTAACATGTTGAACCTGGAGACTAACATGGGGCTACTACTCTCCTTATCTGCGACGGTGAGGCCTTGTGGCCTTAAAAGGATTTACATCTTCACCAACACGACACTCCATTAACAATCCCCCTGATGTGCTGGGAGGAAAGGCCAGCTGTGCGCCTCAATCCGCTCACGTTAAACCACTGTCCCGTCGCTGCAGGGTGGTGTTGCACCTGTACACGGAGCTGTGGACCCGCCCCAGGAACCCAAAGTTTGCTTTTACCAGCACCGTGTGTTGGTGTTGAGCTTAAAGGTGGATCCTGGGTACTTCACTGGCTCTGCTACTGTCTTGGGTCCGACAATATCAACAATCACTGCCAACTACACTCACTGGACGGCTGAAATGAGCGCCTGACATATCGTAACAACTCATACCCCTCTGTACAGCTGTCATGGAGATGAGATAAATCCATGTGTGATGACCTCATAAAGCTTTACTCTCTGTATTTGGGCCATGTTTAGCACGCTCTGCCAGGTTTTTATTCATATCAACGTACGGTAGATTTTAGTGGCGTACCATCACCCCTCCATGTGCACGAGGAGACGCCCCTCTAATAAATAAACGAGGCGGAGGAGGCTTTGATGCCGCTTCTCTTCAAATGACCGTCATCACCGAGTGGTCTCCAGGGAAGCGCTTACATAACAGGATTAAAAGAACACAATGGTTCCGATTTTAGAATGTGCGTGTTTCAATCTTAAATATTAGGTAGTACGTTTTATTATTAAACACCAGCGCAATTATTTTAGTATTCGACCGATTATTTAATCAATCAATTCAAACAGAAATCTTTGCTTTATTAAGGAGCTTAAATTGTTTAAATTGTATACAAGAATAAGAGAGCAAGAAGAATCCGATAATAATCTGGTTGATTATAATGACACACTAGCTATAAGTAAAACAGTTGCAAAGTCAGCATACACCGTGATATTCTCTTGTCATCTACTGTCAGATTTCTCCTCAAATTACTAGGAAATTAATTGTTAAAATCTAGTTTAATAAAGGCACACACAATATAAAGTAGATATTCCAGATATTTATCTGGAATATCTACTTTATATTGCTGTTAAAATATCTCCTTTAATTAAACAACTGGATGTATTCAAGTGTCATATCAAATTCTAAATCAAATAAACATTCAATCATTTATGAAAGGATACAATCCAGTAAACGTTTTTACTGAACAGAGCTTGAACGCAGCTCATTAATTAGCCGAGCAGGACGCGCCTCTGGTAACCGTAGAAACCTGTCAATCACACAAACTGACCCATAATGTCTTGTTATGACAAATGGCCGTCATGCTGTCCTGAAGACGACCGTTATCTTAACGCAATGGAGGGCGTAAACTCACGTTTACTAAATGAAGAGAGCTTTTGAAAGCAGAGGATGGTCTAACCCTGAACCCCCCCCACATGTTCTAATTTCACCACAGCAACCTATGGGTGCATACCATGGATAGTGGTTCCGTTCATACAGTGCTGCGTGCCGGGCGGCGAGAACGCGTGTTGAAAGCTCACTACCCATCATTGCTGTGTTGGTGACCATCGTAGGGACTTATCGGTTCACTTTTGTATTATTCTGGTCATTGAGGGGCAGCAAACGTCCGCTCCGGCCCGGACTTCTTACTCGCAGCGGGTCTGAAGCTTACGTTTGAGCCCATCTTCACAGACCGGCGCCGTGTCTTACCGGGCTTGAAGCTTCGCTGCTGAAAAAATCCATCCTGCTGTCCAACAGCTGGCTGTGACACCTGGCGGGCAGGGTGGCGGTGCACCCGCCGCGCGGCCGCTGGCCACCGCCCCGCACCCGAGGAGAGGCGTCCGGGCTCCCCGCCGGCAGCGCGTGCGCCGACTGGCCGCGACCCGGGTCCTCTGCCGCGTCGGCGGGGGCGAAGGCAGTGGGGCCGTCGCGGCGAGAGCCCTTTGGTTCGGCGTCCCGGTTGGAGGACGACCGTGATATGACGCCGAACTTGCGCGTGCGCATGCCGTTGGCCGAGGCGTCGGAGGCCTCGGGGACGGCTCGGCGCTGCGGCGGGTCCTCGTAGCGGTCGTCGATGGCAGCGGTGCCGGCGCTGCCGTTGGCGTTGCAGGGAGGGGGGGGAGCCTTCCGCTTGACTCGCCGCAGCATGATGAGGTAGATGCAGCCTCCATCCCAGCACTGGTCAGCCAGGTAACTGCCCAAGAAAGGAAAAAGCAGTGATGGGACAATGCTGTCTGGGGGGAGGCTGCCTCTTCATGCACCCAACAACTTCTCGTATGGAAGCTTTCCATCGTGTGGATTTTGGTGGTGCCTGTTGAAGGTAATGCCTCACAGCACCAGAACCCCTTCAGAAAACGAGAACGCTTTAACTTGAGGAACAAAACCCAAGGCTCTGGCTTCCACATGGGAGACGTTTGTCTTCAAGATGGAGGAAAACGAGAGGTTTATTCCACAAACCTAATTGTTTAAGTGATCATGGGCTGAAAATAAATGGCTGGACACAAACGTCTCCCACATGCTGAGTCTTCCTTCTCGGTGTGTTGCTATGCAACCCTTTAAATAATGGCATAATGGTTTGAAATAATGCTGTTATACCGTGTGTTTTATGCATGTGTGTTATCCTGAGGACTTACGAACATATCACGGAGAAGGGAACCAGAAGGGGAACTAGTCTGTGTTGAAATGACACCTCTGAACAAGGCTGAAATCATTGAGACCCCCTCGGTACCTGCTCTGGTCTCAGTGGCCGTCCAAACAGTCACACCCTATCCCCACTCGCCAAATTACCAATGTGTAGCACAGCAGCTGTGGTGAGAACACTGAGCTAGAAGGATACATCACCGATGACCAACGGATCCAGCAGAAAAAAACAAAAAAAGACAGACAGAAATTCTGTGTAACATTGGCCCTCACATCACATGGAGGCAAAGTCAGTGAAATGAAGGAACATCACAGTCCCAGTAAAGCCGGCAGGTCTTCATTCACGTTTACGATCATCAAAAAGCAAAACCAGGATTTGTTGACATTGAGCACACCTTCAATAGCTAGCGTAGCATAGAGGCGCTAACTGTAGTCCATGTTGTACTTACGTACTGAAGCTAGCTCCAGAGGTCCAACCCCGACTAGCTCAGAAACACAGCCTGACACATTGAGAAGAACATACTGGAACAAGTGCTGAGTGTAAAGAGCCCGATAGTTGAGGGACGCTGGTAGGAGCCGCCCCTTTAACATCAAATACAACCAGGCAATTGGCCGTTGTTGTGTAAAAAAGATGATCCAGCATCAATGAGCTGCATGCCGCAGTTGATCATTGTGAAATGTTTTCCTTGGGGGTTTGGTTGCTCCTTGCAGGTTTTACTCCGGTGGTCTTACCTGGCTCCACTGACATCTACTCCCACCATCAGCTGCCCGTTGAGTGACAGCAGTTCGTCCCTCAGTTTGATGCCCCCGCAGCGGGCCGCCGGGCTCCTCTTCCTCACCTCCGTCACCCAAATGCAGCCCACATCCATGATGGGGCCCTGGTCCCGCCTCCTCCTCGGACCTCCTTTCTTTCTGCCATCGGGATCCCCAAAAATGGGGATGTTCCCAAAACTGAGGCCGAACCCCCCATCGTCGCCCTCTTCTTTGCTGAGCGACACGGCGTGGACCTCAACGTCCAGCCCGTCCCTGCAGGAGGACAGGGCTGGGTCCCCCTCCGTGAAGTTGAAGTCGATGTACTCCATCAGCTTCTGAATGGCGGCCAGACACAGGGACATGTCGTCCACATTGACACTGTTGATGCTGCTGCTGCTGCTGCACACACTGTCCACTTCCCCATTGTGGTCGGCGTCCTGGTCCACATGCTGGAGGAAGACAGAGGCGAAGAAGAGGAATCAATTAGTAAATGGAAAATGGATGTGAAGCTCTCAACTACACATATTACCTATTGCATTCTTACAGCTAGAAGTTTATGGGAAACATACATAAATTCTCCCTTGACTCAGTAAACATTGTAAACGATGAGTTTATGTTCTCAACATGTAGTTTCTTTAATACGCCAAGTTGTACACGCTGCAACTACTTCACTCCTTCACAGCCCAAATACGTGAAGTGAAGATGGTTACGGCCGTATTCAAAGTTGGCAACGGCCAATTCAGCAAACCACAAACCACATGGACTAAACCAAGCTTTGGTTTGGCTAACAGACCATCCGTGTTGTTGTACCTTTTATTGTCCATATTTAATATGTCCGCTCCAAACAAACAGATGTACCGTGTACTTTTTATTTAAAGCTGGTCCATTGGTTGCTACTGACGATGTGCGTCTTAAAAAAGTTCTCAAATACATGCAATTGGAAAAAAATCCATTTGACATACACAGAGCTATTAGGCCTAGATCAATTCATTTAATGCAATTGTAGTAATAGTCTGACCCGCTCATTAGCACCGTACCAAGCCATCTACGCAGTGCTTTGGGGGGGCATAGAGTCCCACGGGAGAGGAAGCCATCACATTCCAGCTTTATAGAACCCGATCTGCTGGACATAACTTGATCTGGAGGGGTGGAGGGGGGGGTGGTTGGCGTTGTTAAATGGGACCAAGTACCTTGCAGCCAGAATTCTCTCGATTCAGGTTGTGGTCCTGCTGTGATCTGGCGCTCTGAGACCCGTGCCAGTTCTCCAGCAGGGGGAGGATGCTGAGGGCGTTGTCCTGAGTGATGGGCATCCTGGCATCCTGGGCTTCTTGGGGAGGGGGGTGTCCCTCACCAGCAGTCAATCTGATGCCTCCAACATTCGCCACAAGCACGGGAACCGGTGTGGGACAATAGCCCCAGGTCCATCTCCAGACGTGTTGGGCGTCAGGGGGGCTTAACAAACTCTACTCAGAGAGATGTCCAGACGAGGCTATGTGGGAAATGTTGGACTAATGTCGGCTGTGGTGTCTTCAGCATCAGGCCGTCTCCTAAAGAGAACACAACATGAGCATTACTGTAGTAGCAGTGTGACAGGAAGCGTTTTATAGCGTGTTATTCCGCTCATGGCAGTGACGCTAACCAGAACCTCTTTGACAACATAGAATCTTCCAGGCACATGTGCACAACACACTTCTCCTTTTGATTATCACCTCCAATAGGACAACTGGCCCGATGGAGACGACTTCCTGGAAATCAGTTCCTCTAAACAAAAGCAGTTCAATGAAACCACTCGTCTCGTGAGCAACATAAGCAGGGAAGCCGTCCGACAAATCCAGCAAAATCATTCCCAGGACCATGAATACATTCTACAATCATTGACAATTATCTAATCATCCTAAGAACACAAATGCAGTAGGACGAGGTGGCCGAGTGGTTAAGGCGATGACTGCTAATCCATTGTGCTCTGCACGCATGGGTTCGAATCCCATTCTCGTCGCATTTACCTGATGCTCGCTTACCATGTCAGTGTTTGGAGAAAGGCTCAGATCGTCAAGAAAACCTCATTGATGCATTCAACGAGTCATTTTGCAACGACACGCAGGTGCATCCTGCAGATTTCGATTGTGCAGCAGTTGTTTATCAATCTGGTCATTTTCCACTATTCGCAGGCACAAAATAAATTAAGTTTTAGTGGAGAATGCGAGCGTTGATCCCGCTACTTCTCGCATGCTAAGCGAGCGCTCTACCATTTGAGCTAATTCCCCAACACATAATGCAAACTTGTGTACTTGACCTAAGTGCCCCCCTGCATTTAACGCCTTTACAAAATTCCCAGGAACATGAAAAACATGCTACAATATTGACAATTATCTAATCATCTTATGAAAACAAAAGAAATAGGACAAGGTGGCCGAGTGGTTAAGATGATGGACTGCTAATCCATTGTGCTCAGATCATCAAGAAAAAACACACTAATGCCATTCAACAAGTCCTTTTGCAATGACAAGTTAGTGCATCCTGCTGATTCAAAGTGAGCAATGTTTGTTTACAAATCTGGTCGTTTTCCAT